GAGCTTGGATAGTCCAAGTCATTACTAATTAATTTAATTAGTTAAATTAATTAATTATCAAACATTTAAATTTTAAATTTTGGAATTGAAAATTTGAATTTTGAAATTTAAATTTTGAATTTGAATTTTGAAATTCGAATTGTGAATTTGAAATTTGAAATTTGAATTTTGAAATTTGAATTTTGAATTCGAAATTTTGAATTTTGAATTTTGAAATTTGAAATTTGAATTTAATAATTAAATTAGAATTGGCTATGAAAATTGTTTCATTACGAAAAAGGATAAGATAAGATCTTGTTTGAAAAAGACAAGATAAGATCTTGTTGGAACATAACAAGATTAGATCTTGTTGGAACATATCAAGAGAAAATCTCTTGGACATAATCCAAGGAGATATGGGGCGCTAATATGGCTGATGATTAGTCATCAGTATCAGCTCCAGAAGATACAATCTGTTGAGAGAATATTTGAGTGATTTGATTACTCAAATGTATCTGGTCATTATTTAGGCTATATGGGGCGCACCATATAACTGATTATATGATGATTTATGATCAGATATTTGATTAGGTTTTGAACCTAATATATCATAAAGATATGATAGGATGTTGTTGGCAAGATTTGATGAGATTTGATTTGCAACAAATCATATTCTCTCTCTCTTTGATGGAGCGCCCTTTTGGAAGGGATTTTTATTGATTAAAAATCTGATTTGTTTTTAACAAATAGGCTCCTCTTGTGCGCCTCTTTATATATGTTCCTTCTAGGGTTTTTAGAAAACTAACCAAGCCATTCTCTCCTAATTTCCTGCGCCACTATTGTGAGGTTTTCTCTCAGAAAACTTCACTCTTCCAAACACTTTTACATAGCCTCCTCTCATCACACATTGAGCGAATAACAAGCCTCTTTGTGGTGATCAATTGTCGACTTTACTGGAAGGAGTTCCTGTATCTAGACGCAGGTGGTGTGGATCAACGTTAGAGGGTCTGAACCCTTCAGACCTACCTTTGATCGTCTTGAGTTTTTCACGAACAAGGTATGACATACGTCTTAAAGTATGTATCTTGATATGCATGTGTATTCCGCTTGCGAAAAAATTTTGTTTTTCCCCTCTCACATGCTACGGCCTTCAAGGCCTTCTTTTTACTTTCACTTCGTGATGGGTTGGCCTAAGACCTAGCTGTTATGACTCCTTTGAGTCATTGTGGACAGATTGTCTAAGTCTGCCCACTTTCTTCCGGTAAAGGTGAGCTTCTCATCAAAGCAGTTGGCCAAACTGTCGTTCGCGAGATCGTGAGTCTTCACGGGGTGCCCGAGAGTATCCTCTGTGTTTGGGACCGGAAGTTCACATCTCGGTTCGGGGAGACGCTGCTGAGAGCTTTTGGAACTCAGTTGAGACTGAGTACAGCCTATCACCCTCAAACTGTAGGACAGACTGAGCGGACCCTTCTGATCTTGGAGAACATGTCGAGGGCGTGCACCTTGGAACAGGGCCCCGCATGAGATAGGTACCTGTCATTGGTAGAGTTTTGTGATTGTGTGTTCCTTGCTAGCCTGGGCATGGGACCCTATGAGACGCTGTTTCGTAGGAGTTGTAGAACTCCTACCTGTTGGTCTGAGATTGGAGATAAAAAGAGTTGTTTGGTTTGGACCTTGTCCAATTACCATCTATCGGGTCAGATGATCAGAGTAAAGCTGATGCAGGCACTTAGTCGTCGGGAGGACTACGTTGATGTTGAGCATCGTTCACTGGAGTTCGGTAAGGGTGAGCACGTGTTTGTGAAGCTTTCACTGTCACCGGTGTTGTTCGGGCACTTGGAGTGAGAAAGCCCGCGGTTCTTTGGGTCATACCAGGTACGTGGTATAGTAGGATCTGTTTCCTACCGGTTTGCCTTGCCTTCGAACTTGGACAGCACCCAAGACGCGTTTCACGTGTCTCAACTTCGCAAGTTTGTAGCGGATCCTTCGCACGTGGTGCAACAGAATGTTGTGGACGTTCGGGAGAACTTGAAAACTTCCGTCGGACCACTAAAGTTTCTCGATCGTGGAGAGAAGCAGCTGAGGAGCAAGATCATTTCGATGGTCAGAGTACGTTGAACGGGAAGAATTTCTAAAGGGTAATTCTGGAAGCGAGAGGACGAGCTTCTCTGGCAGTATCCCGCGCTTCGGTACAGGTATGTTTTCTGATTTTGAGGACAAAATCCTTAAAAAGGTGAGGTGAATGTAAGAACCCGTACCGTTAATTAAGGAATTTAATTAATTAATTATGAGAAAATAGGAAATGATTCCATCATTGACCCTAATAATTATTATGAGACTCTAATAATTATGATAAGTGATTAAGAATGCTGAAAGTCGCTTTTCAGAAGAAAAGTGCAGATATCGGTTTCGCTAGTCGGTACAAATGCGTACCGAAAAAGTATCCCGGAAAATTATTACAAGTGCATGATAATTACTAGAATAATATATAGGACTTGCAAAACGAGTTTCAAGTCCAAATAATGAGAACTGATGCCAGAAACTGATACTGGCTATGAAAAGCGCGTACCGGAAAGGTGCTCAGAAAAATATAATAAAAATATTATAATTCTTGTAAAATTGAGTAGGTTAAGAATCCAAAGTTTTGGATTAAAAATTCAAGCGTAGCAATTAAAGTTAATATTGTGTGTTTTATTGTTAAATCGCTATAAATACTCTTCTTAAGGACACATAACCCTAGAAAACTGATTCTTACGTGAGTGCATTGGAGGCTGGTTAGCTGGTGCTCTCTCCTTGAGTTCTCTTCTCCATTGTGAGCCAAGTTGTCATCTTTCACTTGGTTTCTTCCTCTTTTCTTGGTAAACACTTGAGGGCTATCATTGTGAGGGTGTGAGAGTGCATCATCTGAGTTTGTGACCTCTGGTTGGGGAGTGTTTGTTGCTGACTTTGGAGGTTGGGGGTTGTTGAGCCATTGTAGTGGCATTGTGAGCTTCCTTTGTGAAGAAAGAACCAACCTTGGTGTGTCTTTTTCGTTTTGGGACCATGTCAGAACCTTGGGAGTGTCAAGTGAGCTCCAAGAGCCTCTTTGTTCTGAGTTTGAAGCTTGGGTATGTTGTACCAACCTTGTTCTTGAGTTTTAATGCTTAAAAGAGATGTCTTGGTATGTTTATAGAGTTAAACAAGTAACCAACTGGTATGTGGACGTGAAAGAGTATAAAAATGCATGTTTTAACGTTTGGAAGTGATAAAAATGGAACCTTGGAAGGATACCTTCGCGAAATGGAGAAACTGCATTCTATCTCGAAACATCCGAATATTTCGAGTGAGATATCCGGATATTGGATATCCTGATATTTCGAGTGCGATATCCTGATATTGGATATCCTGATATTTCGAGTGAGATATCCGGATATTGGATATTCTGATATTTCGAGTGCGATATCCTGATATTGGATATCCTGATAGTTCGAGTGAGATATCCAGATATTGGATATCCTGATATTTCGAGTGTGATATCCTGATATTTCGAGTAAGATATCCTGATATTTGCAGTGAGATATCCAGATATTGGATATCCGGATATTGGATATCCGGATATTGGATATCCGGATATGGGGAGCTGGATATCCGGATATTGCATATCCGGATATGTCCCCGAGGAATATCCGGATATTCTGGGATTCGTAGAACAGTAGTTGTGTTGTGTGTACAGTAGGCTATTGGGGGTTTGTGGACCCTAGATTGATGAAGTTGAACTTCTGTTTTAAATGAACGAAGTCAGAATCATATGATTAAGGGCTTATGGCTTTGTGTGAAGCCTTAAGACGTAAAACGTAATGAGAATGCGTGGTCTTAATATTTATGCTTGTAGTGCATGTTTATTGATTTATTATTGGTCCATATCATATTGTGATCTGCTGTGTGTTAGACTTGAGCCGTGTGGACTATTGGCATTGGAAAGTGAGCTTGCAAGGTAAGCTTTCGTGTCCTCGGTTTAGCCATGTTGTGGTTCCACCATGTCCCATGGGGGTATGGTTATATGCATGATGTTGTCTTCATGTACTATTTTATTGAAATGCTATGGAGCTGTTAAGTCAATTGTTGTATGATATTTATATGGTGTTTGCCTTAAAGGGAAACCATGTGGTGGCCTTTTGGGGGTGGGTACAGCATGGGCTGGTACTGTGTGGGTAATAGACGTATTCCTGCATTTCTCTGATCAGTAGAATAGTTATAACCCACATGACATGATTATCTGCTGCATTGCACTATTTTGGAAATTATATTGTTAAATTGCTTTTGAACTTATATTGCACATGTAAGTGAGCTTGGGGTGGAAGATCCTTGAGTACCCCTTGTCTTACTGAGATTTCTGTTAGAGATCTCACCCCACGTTTGGGGCGCTTATTTCAGGTTCAGGTAATGTTGAGACCTCAGGCGGCAGGAGGCCGGAGCTGAGTTAGATATTGCTGTTATATTATGCTGACTTGTTGGATGCTGGTTATGCATGCTGCTTTATGCTTTTAGCTTCAGTTTATGATTGTATATCATCTTGTTGTTTACGCTGTTGATTTGGTGAGCATGGGGATTGTCCACGACACATAGTATTGTTTATGTCTTGAGTCTTTTGGGAGTTGTAATAATGTATTAGGATATTGTCGTCTTTTGGGAGTTGTAATAATGTATCAGGATATTGTCCGGATTACGAGATGTAATGTCGTGATTTAGATACACACTTTATTTATATATTGAGGTATTTCAGTAGATGTCTTATTGCAATTTACATACAGGCGATATTTTATGAAATTGATTAAGTAATCAACTTGGCTAAGTTTAATGATGTCATAATTGAAAAGAAAAAGAATATTCCGCAATTTTAATTAAGCGCAGCTTAATACGATGTAATGTTAACAAACCGGGTATACACGGGGTGTTACAATCCCCTTGCTGCAGCATTCACCAAGGTTCTTATGCTCGACGTCATTCCTTGGAAGAAGATATGTCCCTTCACCCAAGCTTCCATGCCATCTTGGGGACACTTTCAGAGCTATCCTTTGAATCTTTCCCATGCTTCGTACAAGGATTCACTTTCTTTTTGTTCAAAAGCAGTAATTTATGCTTTGAGCCTTGCTATCTTTGAAGCTGAGAAGAATCTGGGCAAGAACTTGGTCGCCAAATCATCCCAGTTGGTTATGCTTACTTGAGGCAGTGACCGCAACTATCCTCTTTCTTCTTCCTTCAGTGAGCATAGGAAGAGTCTGAGCAAGATGGCGTCACGTGAGACTCCATTCATCTTCAACGTATCACAATAGAGCAAGAAATTCTCTAGGTGACTGTAGGGGTCTTCGGTGCTTCCTTCGGCGAACTGATATTTTTGAATCAGTTGCAGCAGTGCTGGCTTGATTAAAAATTTTGAAGTACGTTGTTGTCAGCCATCGTTTCTTCCTTTGGTTCTGTTGAACTTGATGCTTCTTTTGCTTTTCTTTCTTTTGCGCTTTTTTGAGTTTTGTGGCTGTCTTTTCTATCTCAGGATCAAACTGCAAGGATCGTGGGTTAACAGTACCTCGCATAAACTAAGAGTAAAAGATTATGCAGAAAAACAGAAACTGCAGAAAATAGAAAACAGAAAATAACGAATGCAGAATATGCAGAAAAAGTAATGCATAAACTATTTTTTTTTCAAAATATAAAAATAAAAATAAATAAATAAATAAATTAATTAAAAAAATTAAAAAAATTAAAAAATTAAAATTAAAATTAAAAATAAAAAAAAGTAAAAAAAAATTAATGCAGAATTTAATTGATGCAGAAATTTAAAACGTTCAATGTAAACAGTTTTTAGTTACTTCTAATGTTGAAGGATTTAATCCCAGACAATGGCGCCAAAAACTTGTTGCGACTTCGGCAAGTGCACCGGTCGTAAAAGTAATAAAGTGTACTGAGTACGAGATCGTTCCCACGAGGATCGGATTTTCAAGCACTAGTTCGCTAACTGCGGTTTAGTTGGACAATCAAGAATAAGATGAAGAGAATTGTAATTGAAGAATTTAAAATTAAAAACAAGCAATAACATGCAATTAAAAATTCAGAAATAAAAAGAAACAATTAAAAAGATGGTGATTGATTACGAATTAAAACAAGCGTAGTTAGGGTTTCAACTTTCTCCCATATCCTCATTATGTTATGAATTAAACAGTCAAGAACATTTTCTTAATATAATGCTAATCAATTCTTTCTAAGTTAATTAGGGCTCAATTCCTTGTTACCCTAAATCTATGTGATCTTGAAAGAACTCTAGTTCCCCGATTATTCCCCAACAAAACATGCATTAAGATCAAGAATTTTAAAGATTGCACAATTGCCCTATGTCTATCCCTAGATCACAAGGATTGTGATAAATTTATCAATTCAGGGTTCATGCACCAACATCTCTATTGTTATACAATTCCCCAAGCATAAACGATTCAATTGGGTTCCATCTACCCCTAACTACATAAAAGTTTAGCCTAGCATACTGAATTCAAAAACAATAGTAAAGAAAAGAGAACCCCAAGCCTCCATTGGTGTGATGTTGACTTGGTTCCTCAGTGTTCCAGCGCTACGCAAAAGGATTCCTCCTTCAGGTCTCTATGTGATTCTCTGGACTTGTTGATTGGTTTTGACCCTCAGCTCCCTTTTTATAACCATTAAAGCCATATCTTTTTAATTCTCCATCCAATCTCCCCATAAATCTCTATCAATAAATCAAGATTGATTTCGTTCCGCTTTTATTTAGAATATTACAAATCTATATCAATTAGCAAATCAAATCAAATCTTGGGCTGACTGGGTTCGTATTTGGGCGCTTGAGCACGCTACAGGCACTTGAGCGCGCTCTTGTGCATAAATTTAGGAATTCTGTCTGTCCAAACGCGCTCGAGCGGCCATATGGGCGCTCGAGCGTGCTCCTTGATGGTGAAGTCTTGTAGTCTTGGGCGCTTGAGCATGCTGTTAGGCGGTTGAACGCCCTGGATTGCTCAATTTAGTTGATTTTCCTGCCTGGACGCGCTCGAGCGTCCATTCTGTGCGCTTGAGCGTGCTCTTTTCACCCTTGACTTGTACTATTTTGGCTTTCTTAGGTTCATTTTGAGCTGCAACTCTTTGTCATAATTTTTTCATCACTTCATAGCACCAACAAGTGTGATTTTACGTTCAAAAAGCAAAGAAAATCAAAACGTTAGCTCAAATTCTTAACTTAAGATTTATATGTTGTAAAACCTTGAATTCCATGAAATCTATAATATATTTCTCATATAATTTGGCCTAAAAATATGGTAAACCAAAGGTTTATCAGCCTCACATCAAAAAGTAATGCAGTAATGGAGGCCGAGTACTAAAAACATTATCCTTGATTGTCAATTTACTAACAATATTGGGTTGATTGACAATTTTAATCCTCTTTTAAAAGTAATTTATTATTTTATTCATTTCTTAAACAATAATATATCAAATATGTTTCTCTTCTTAAACTATATATCAATATGCTCTTATTTGATCAAACTCAAGTCCCTGGTAAGTCATTTACTCGAATGAATGACTTATTTACTCGAGTTAGTGTTGGTCAAATTTTAATCAAAAAGAAATAGATTTATGTATAGTTTGTGAATGTACCACCTCGTAGTACTTCGACATGGTAACATTACATACGATAATAAGTGTAGTAACAATCATAGCAGTTCACTTGAAAATACAGCTAAACTTTTTCTTTTTAACGTTACAAGTTCCATTTAAAATCATTATTGTAATTAAATAAACCCAAAACTGTAATTATAACACAGTGTAACTGCAGAATATTTAAACCTAGCTTCAACATATCATACAAGTCCTTTTAGACACTACCATGAAGTGCCCATACATTACATGGCTTCATTTCACATTTTCAGCAATTTATGATGCTCGCTGAGCTCCTCGCTTCAGCAAACCCCTCAGCGAGCAGATCACATTTCCTCACTGCACTGCTCGCTCAAGCGAGCACTGCAGCGAGCAATTTAATTTCCCAGGTAGTAGCTACTGCTCAGGTGCTCTGTTTCTTCATTGTCTCTCTCGCTGAAGCGAACATGAGAGCGAGCGTTCCTCTACTTTCATTTAAATCTCAAGGGTTTTCTTGCAACCCAATCCACTGCTCACTGAACTTTCTCTCTCAACCTAGCATGTCAATGAGCAATGCCTTGCTCAAACAGTGGCTCTTGTCTCAAGTTTAACTAGGTAGCTGGCCTCCTCGCTTAAGCAAGCATATAATGACCCTATTTGATAAATTTTAATTAGAGATTTAATTTAAGGATTTAAATGTCATAATTCGATTCAGATTTTGATTTCGAGTGTTTTGACTGTAATCATGACTAGGTCATGAACAGTTTATTTTGTCGGATATTCTGCAGTGTTGTGAATCAATCAGTAGAGCTTAGAATGAGCAAATGAGTTTAGAGACCTAATTTGGTAATTCTGATGCCAAATATGAGTTCAGAACAAAAAATTGTATAATCTGGCACTTTTCGTGAAAATCTCGTGTATAGTGTTTTCTGTCAGATATTTTGTACCGTTGTTTAAACAACCGGTAGAGTCCAGAAAAAAAGAAAAAAAATAATGAAAATAAGTTCATAAAAATAAATAAAAAAATTATCGTAGCTTAAGTTTGTTTCGGGTAAATTTAAGTGAAATTAAATGAGAGAAAAATAACCGGTAAAAGATTACATACCATTATAAACTTAAGTTTCTTCCTAAGTTACTATTCACATCATCACCCACCTCGTTGTTGCGAATTCGGCAAGTATACCGTTCGTTTCAAGTAATAAAAGAGATAAGTAAGATATCGTTCTCTCGAGGATTAATGCACCAAGTATTAATTTAACTATTCCCCTTAAGTTGGAAAAGAAAATTGGTTTGATTGTGAAAGAGATTGATTGTTGTAATTTTAAAAATAGAATTTTAAAAACAATAATATTTAAAAGCCTGCAAGAGTATCAAGAACGTCAAAAAAATATGAGAGTGATTAAAAATTATAAAAAGACTGTAGCCAGGATGCACTTCACCTCTGATCCTCCCTTATATTCCTATATTATATTTTATAATTAATTAATTTGTTAGCTCAAACAATTCATCATTTCCCTATAAAATAGTTGGACCCTAATGTCTTAGTGATTTTAACCCTTTAACCCAATTAGAATCCTAGTGTCCTAGTAATTCCTCTTGAATTAAGCATTAAGCAAATGAATTAAAAGTCTGCAATCTATGTAAGCCTATGTTTAGGTCATGCACAAATTGTTATTCTACCCTTGTCCAAATTAAAATCTCAATATGTCTATTGTGAATCCTAACCCTCAAAGCCCTATAATTAGAGTGATCAGTTCTAATAAGGATATGGAAAAATTAACGTAGGCAGAATAAAACTAACTAAACTAACTAACTTATAAAAACAATATAGAAAATAAAAAGAATTCACATTGGGTCCATGATCCCAACTACAAAAAAAAATTAGCCAGACATATTCATGTCTGACTTAAACAAATTAAAAGAATAAAAACTGTTCATGAAAGCAAAAAAGAAGAAGATGAAGATGAAGGATCAATGGTCTTCAGTCTTCAACTTCGATAGAATCCTGATCTCCAGCGTGAGTCTTCAAGAATTCTCTCAATTCTCTGTTCTCACAATTCTCTCTAGCCAAAGATGGTTTGTCTCTGAGGTCTGAGTCTCTATTTATAGAGTTTGTGCCCTTGCTTAGAAATCTTGATCATATCTTCATCGTATATCTTGGATCCAATCTCTTCTGATACAGCCTGAGATAAGTTTAAGAATTATCATGCACCTCCCGCGCTACTAGTGCCAGGTTGGCGCTGATAGCGTGGGAGTGTTGTTTAGAATACTGCAGCTTCACGCTACTAGCATGATTCCCGCGCTGATAGCGCGGTTGGCAAAATTGGCTGGCGCTGCTAGCTCCAGTGCCACACTAGTAGTGTGGTGGTTCTGTCTTGAAAAGTAATGTTGGCGCTGACAGCGCCATACCCGCGCCAATAGTGCGGGGCTTCAGACTTGTGCTTCTAATTGGGCTTCTTTCTGGTCCATTTTCCTACAAAATTGTAAGAAAATCAGTGA